GCTCCATCATGGTGCTTCGGTTGCCCTGCTCCATTCCATGACTTATGTAAATCATAACTTCATAACGCTTGAAGCCGCTTAATCCAATCCCCTGGCGCTTTACAATCTTTACATCTTCCCTACAAGTATCCTTCAAAGACTTCCGGTTTTCTCTGCCACCAACCAAGGCTCTGAAGCCAGAAGTGGATCAACGTCCACACCGTGTAGCTGACCCCCAAGACCCCGATCCAACCCATCTTGTTCCAGCCATATGGGAAGCGACCCATGAAGAAGCTCAGGTTCCTCGAACCAAGTCGGGAGGACAGTTGGGACTGATACAGGGGAAATTCAAATGAATTTGATTGAATTTGACTCTTTTTTCTCTTCGAAGGCGTTGGTCCCTTCCTTTCTCTGGAAGAGTTGTGAAATCTTTTCGGGAGCGAGTCGACTTCTTCTTTTTGAAATGAGGTAGGTTCTGAACAGCACGCACACACACACAGTTCTGGATCTGGATCCTTGGAAACAACCATTGGAACTTTAACCATCAAACAAAAACACACAGGGAGTGTGCGTGTGTTTGTCTAGCATCAACAGCTCAGTCACATATGCAGGTCTAGGTCTAGCCATGGCCATGTTTGGTTATCACCGTGATGGCACATGCATGGCAAGGGGTAATATTGTGAATACGTGGAGTGCCATGTCAAACACTGAACAAATAACATGTTAAACAATATTCATATTATCTGTAACAATCTGTAACATGTGTTCCATGTTGAGAGCACAACAAAGATCAACCACTGTCGGAGTGCCATCTGTCTGCCATCAAATCCTGAGACCGACACTTGGCACATGGCGGGGCCACTCCAACATGAAAACCAAGTGACTCAAGTCACAACGAATTGACTTACAATCAAGAATGATGTGCCTCCATCTGCCCAAGGGCATCAAAACGTCTCCCCATCGGCCATGCTTCAGCAGAATCACGTCTCCCCCATGAATGAAAAGGCTCACATAAGGCGGTGGCCTCCGACATGTCGGCCCGCGCGCGAGGATGCCGTCCCAATCTTGCTTAGTGATATTGGTGGATAGAGAAGTCAATGGAATTCAACAGAATAAGGTAGTGATCCCCAGGTTCATGGGAGCGCCGACCCCGCGACCCCACCATGGAGATAGGCTATCGAAAATTGGGAAACAGGTGCACGCAAGTGTTCATCAGCTTTGACTTTGTTTTAGACGCGATTCCTTTTTGGATAGCTTCAACGAAACCTATGTTGAGTTCGGCACTTCCATTCTGGGCTGCTGGCCGAAAATTATGGTTCATTGGGAAACACCCAGAGGTATTGAATCTATTCCTAATATCACTAGATATGGACTCCTCTGGTAGCACTAGTTTGTGTTGCACTTGTGGGCAACCTGATTGTTCCTTCTACGGTCATACGGCTGTTGATGTCCTCCAAACTGAACTTCTCAAAAGTTGTCAAGGGTCGATGTGAACTTGCCTGCCTTGTATTGTCAGTTCCTCACAGACAAGAAGATGAAGGGCTTCATGTCACCACAGTATAAGAGGAATTACAGTAGCATGTTTTAGAGTCGACTCCTCCGGTGCAGCAGTTGCTTTTGTGACTAGAAAAAAACTCCGAACTCACCCCAGAACTCTTTGACATGTCTTAACCATTGGATGCCGACGTCACCTTCTGGTTCCCACGTTGCCCAGCACCGACCAATGCGATGACAAAGTGCTGACCGAGGCACCAGTAGGGTGTCAAAGCGTAGTACAAACCTGCTGACAAAAGCACCGAGGGCAGCACCATTGAAAGTAGAGCAATGTAAACCTTGGCAGCATTTCTGAAGCGGTCATTTTTTGTGTGGAAAGCCAAGCAGCTATACTTGCGGGTTTGGAGAATTAGATCAAGCGCCACCTCAAATATTGCGATGGTCTGAACTCTGCGGTTGCCAAATACACTTATATGAGCTGTGCTGGAAACCTTGATAGGTTCCTATGTCGTAAGAGGGTGCTTACGCAACACATAGGTTTTTCTTACGCGCTCCACAGGTTTTCTTACGCGGCATGTGCGGGGAAGTGGGTGCTTACGCCACCCTTACGCAGCCAGACTTCGCAGACTTTTTGCGAATCTGCTGGGAACATGCTTACGCGACGTGCTTTGTACAATGATAGGGCTTCAAGAGTTACTACTTGCAGAAGCATGCGATCCTTCCCGCAGTGGCACGGGCTCAAGCAAGCGCGTTTTCACCAAGGCCGCGCAAAACCGCATGGCGCAGCGACATCACAAACGTCATTTGGCCACACGGTGTGCCACAGACTAGACACAACAGTGCACCACCAAGCCTCATGGACACCGCCAAGAGTCCAAGAGTGTTGGCTTTCGGGCCAGTGTTGGCAAAAGGCTTTGAACCATGTGGGCTACTACTCACTGACGCGCATGAGACTTACGCGCTGCCTACGCGGAGCTTACGCGCGCCTTACGCGGAACGTGCCGTGACTCTCCTCGATCTTTGTGAGGTTCCTGTTTCTAGTAAACACAGCAGACCTCCTCAACAAAATCTGTTCTCACATCAAATGCAAACCAGCAGATACAAAAAAGCTTACGCGGCACAAAAAGCTTACGCAACCTTGCGCAGTGCAGTGCTTTCCTTACGCCCCGAGCTCTTATGACAAGACCCTTGCTCATTACAAGCAAGTGGGTTTATGGCATGGCTCATATGTATACGATACAGTAATTAATATGGTTAAAGGGCAAGGTACCACCAAAAATCAAACCACCTCAAGTGGCGCAGGATGCTGTTCGTCAACAAATGTTGCAACATGTTGGAACATGTCAGGTTTCATGATGTCCTTGCACGGACCAGCCTTCGGAGAGTATGTAGTTTACAAGGGCCATGGTGCGAGTCGTCAGAATCAGCATCGGTATATTATATATATAATATAGTCCAATATAGTCCAAACATATTCCCCTAGCATCGAAGGTCTGAAGAGCCCAAATGAGACAGAATCCTCTTGAACAAGAATCTTTATATACCTAGCTTTTGGTGAAACTTAAGGAACAGTTGATAGTCATGTGGCCAGAAACATCAGATACTACAGGGACCAGGAGTGAATCTCAACACGCCCCCAAACCCCTGTCCCTAGTGGCTGAACCAAAACAACAAATGAGTCATGGATGGTCAATGGGGAGAACATGGGAGAACCATTCCCAGCATAGGCACTTCGAAAAGCTTCCGGTGCCGCCGCGTGTCCCGCCTTCACGAGGACCGGCACTTCCGGCGGGTTCGGGGCATTGGACGAAAGCCGCTGCGAAGCCCAAAGGACGACGCTGAAGGAAAGCACCTGTTCGATGACTTCCAGGGTGGTGACCCAACCTGAGTTGACCCAAATACTGAGGCAATATATGATCACAGAGTTGCATAAGCCACTAGGAAGCATGGAATCAAAGCAACAAGAAACACATGTATAGAACTTTTTTCTCAGCGAATCTGCAGAACCCCATGCATAAGGCTGTGTGCAGACTTCCGCTGGTCAACCAGTGGTCACCTGCTAACTGGCCAACCTCGAGGGCTACTTCTCCAGCAACATGCCAGAATCTCATGTTGGCTGCATATTAACTATGGGATGCTATGGGAAGTAGCGCATGGCTCAAAGCAACGAAGATTCTTCATATATTCTACGTATATAGAACATATATTTCTATATCACTATATATATATATATATCTATATATGTGTATATATATATATCATGTAATATATAATAGTTATTACCAATTACTGTTTCTGCAACTCATTATATGCTGTATATGATTCCTCACTCATCTTCACGCTTTCGGCCAATCCCAGCCACGCGAGAAGTAGATCCAGTACATGAGGCCCTCTTCTTCAAAATACTCGAGCAGGTGTGCAATGAAGTGTCCAATAAAGAGAAGCATGATGATGGCCCTGAAAATGATGTAAGACTGGGTGCTCATGTACGGCGATGTAGCAAGGGCCTGCAGCAACAAGCCATGTGTTCGATTCGACAAGACCCAACGGCTGTTCCGATCACGGTCGAAGGCAATGAACCTCCCTCAGTGAATGCCTCTTTCTCTGGGATCGCTGGCACCTGCCGCGGAGGAACCCTAAACTGCACCCAAAGATTAAATTTTGCCAGGCCAATGGTCCAATTGTGGACCAACCAATGCAGGAGCTCCAAAAAGATCTAAAAAGACTCTCCGTCCGGAACTGGTGTTGAGAACGGAAACCGCTTGGCCAAGTGAACCGGCATGTCTCGTTCCCGAGAAACCAGTCCCGTGTTTATGAATGAAATGGCTGACATCATCTGAAAACATCGGATCATCACATTGTGGGATTCTATAAAGGCTCGTATCATCGAAAACGTTGAAGAATGATGAAAATCACGTCATACCCAAGCATTCCAAAGGGCGTCAAGCTGCAAAACTACCCTGCAAAGGAAAAACTCACTTGGGTACCGAAGGTAGACTCAGTACAGGTCTCGCGGGTTCACGTCTTGGACCAATGTTTGATCGTTCTAGATACCCATAGATCGCCAAGTGTTTGCACCATGTGTTTACACATGTTCATGCTCGTTGTTAATATGCTGCGAGATGCTGCAAGTGTATGACAACATTCAACATTAATTGACCATTCCCATCGTTACCCACCCTCTTCTCTTTTCCCGGGAAGCACTGAAACATACTGAAACAGTGCCAACAAATCTGTGCTTCTCCCCTGTTGTGGTCGTCGGGTCGGCCTTTGGCCAGTCGCCTGGCAGCCATGGCTCCACATCAGAAGATAAAATCATTGCGTTCAACGCACAAAGCACCAAGGAGCACTAAGGAGCACGAGCTAAGAGACACTTTGAGCCGTTCCTCCTGCAGAATTTGAGCACAGAATGCTGTGTGCAGTTCTGGTTAGTGCATGGATTCATTTTGCTAGTGTATCCTCATCACTCCTACACAAGGGGTCCCTCCAAAACCTTGGGTTGCCACTAACCTCCTGCGCAGTTCCACCTGCGTGCGGAGCTTGTCGAGCATCTTGAGCAGGGTCTCATAGTCCGTGATGGTGTTCGCGAAGTCGTCGATCTTCCTAAGCACCCAACAAACCATGAGTCAAAGCTAGATGATGAGTGCTCCACATGCTCTACTGGTTCTTTGGGGGTCCTTCCAGTTCGGAAGACGTGGACCACATCAGCTAACATCAGCTATCCAGCCACATCCCATGAGCCTCAGGGATCTTGGGTCATAGAAAATGAGTCCGCCCGATCACGATCTGATGTATGTTGGCCAGACTCACATCACCGCTTGGGGTCTGCACTGATCGCCATTCCTTCGGAGATGTCAACTGAAAGGTGGATTGTGAAGAATAACTTAACTGTTCGCCAAAAGGACAAGGGATTGAAATCATTGCAGGTTTGGTGAGTACCCTTGAAGCATCATGAAGCCAAAGCTTTAGACAACTTGGCCTTCCCCCATTGTCTGGTCTCAAACAGGGACCCTGGCCTGAACCACTTTTGGGGGGGCTGTGCTTGCCAGGGGTTGATTGAGCTCAGACGACTGTTTCTTTTGGTACATCGGGTACGTGCCGAAACCCCTTTAGCCTTAGCACCTTTTCAAGTGGGGTGGCTGAGCTCTCCAACCTACTAGCAATGGCCTCCAACCTTCTCAAGTGGGGTGGCCACATGCCTTTTCCATGCTCTATTCGCCCAAACAAACCTTCACTGCTCGTTGGAACGAGCACAAAGGGTCTTCCCGATTCCTGATTCCACTGGAAGGTACAGGACCTTGGCTTTTTACAGAAGTTGGGATTCCGCTCTAGCGATTTGTTAAGTTTTCTGCAACCTCCGCTCGTGGGCCTAGTAATATGAATTGCATATATGGATTAAATATACTATAGTTGTATCAACTATACAGTATTATACAACAACTGGATACAAGTGGATGGAATAACTTGACCACAATGGTTCTCGAGGCTGCATACCGCTCTTTCTTTGTCACACCAAGTGTCATGTGGTTCTTCATCACTTTGATCTGTTCGAGCATCTGCTCATTCTTCTTATCGGTGTGAGACCGGACGACTCGTCGCTGTGTCACTCCTGCCACACGTCATGTGGGTCTACAAAAGTCAGCTGGTGACAGCCAAGCGTGAAAGCTTTCCGAACTTAAAGAAAGCTTTGCAGGGTAGCCCGACTTCAAGTTGCGGCGCCCAACTTTTGCTGAGTGAGCAACATCAGCAACATCCCTTTGGTGAAACAACAATCACCATCGTGGCTCTATGACATCTATGGCCTTTGAGGACCCCTGGGTTGCCTTTCCTTCTTCCAGATCTCCAAGAACATACAGTACTTCCTTTATCTTCCACTTCCAGTCTCTGTTCGTCTGAAAAAACGACGCCTCTTCTGCCACTCTCCATCTGTCGTGACCTGCCTTCGTCCTCACTGGAGGAGGCCTCCGCCCAGCGCGCCATCTTCCGTGGCGCTGCGGCGGTGACCACGGGCCGCTCCTCGTGGCGCGAACGACAATGGCTCCGGGATGCTGCTGCTCACCGGAGAGGCGCCAGCATCTATATGCCACCGGATGCCATCGGTCAGACTTTTCCAAGAATTGTTTCAACATAGTTAAATTAAAGAATGTTTGGTATAGCTGCACTTTGTAAATTGTACAATGCACATCAATGTACAGTTGATACAGCTTAACATATTGTTAAACTTGTTGCGCTTTGTTTGCAATTTTGATCCATTTTTTGGGCTACTCTGGAACCATGTGGAACGTTGGACCGTCCAAAAGAAACTTCCAGGTGGCCACGCCATCCCCCACGCCACGCCGCCACGCCCAGGGCAGGTCTCCTCCTCGCTGTCGGAAGATCCCGAGTCCGAGTCCGAAGAGGAGGAGCTGGCGCCGCCGCCCCAAAACCTCAGCGGGCGCTGTGGTTTAGGGAGGCTGGGCAGAAAGATCCAGGAGGCACCCAGTGCTCTGAACAATATACCTGGAAGGTGAGTATTATATAGCATATACATGTATATTATATATTATTGTATGGTGAGATCTTGTGAAATCCATGTACAAATCTGCAGGTTTGTATGCTTGGAGACTAGATCCCTTGCAAAGCACTTACAGTGCCCAGTCCAACGCCTTTAGAAACTCAGAAGTCATCTGCGTGGGAATGCTATCCCCTGCAACCAAATGCTTCCGAGGTGCTTATTTCCTGCCATGGCTGCAACCAAAACTCTGTAGGTATTGTGTCAAGTGATCCACCTACTTAAGCTACCGGTTTCTTGGCCGGTTTCTTCGCTGCCGGAAATGACCGGCGCGCGATCTTGAGCCAATGAATGGTTCACTGAAAGCACAAAAACGCACGGACGAGTGAAAGGATACAATGCTAGTGATACTGAGTGAATGTGCAAGGACGAGTACTGTAAGCCGTTGGAGAGCACAATGTGCCTTGTGGGCTAAGCACTTGTGCCACACGTGGCCAATTGCCTTTATTGTGAGTGTGCTATGGCAACAAGCATGAAAGCTGAAGAGCGAAAGCTGAATAGCAACCAAATAGTTGAAGGGCCGAAGGATTCGATGGATTTTCTTGTAGGGGGATGTCTTTCATCAAGGCCTGTCTTCGGGGGTCTCGGCCAAAAAGGGCGAAAACACGAAAGAGTCTTCGCGCGTGGGAGATCGGAGTCTCGTCTTCGTCTTCGCCGGGCTGGTCTGATCTTTGTACACGTCCGGCTTGCTGAACAGGGTGTGAGATGTAACATATTGGATGTGGATGGGATATTCATGTGGAAGGTGAATGGGTAGAACCAAAACATGAGACGCGTATGAATACCATAAGTGAGTGGTCTTGTCTGTGATCCTTCTAAACAAAATGGATACATTTCAAATGGTCCACTAGTTTTGACTTCGATTGTGGGTAAGCAATATGTCAGACACATTGCAATCATGAGAAGTTCTACCGAACTGCTGGTGATCTTCTCGCAAGGTGATCGATTACGGTCAAAGTACTCACCAACAGTCCTCTTGCGAGGTTTGCAACAACAAACAATGATAACTGGGCCCCATGTTCAGCGCCCCAGACTCGTCCAGCTTCGCAGCCAAACATTGCTGAACTACACCCTAAAGATGCCCGAAACTCGCAAATCACCATAAAAATATACAGCTCTGCAACGGCATTTGAAGTGAAACAAATCAGGTTCTCTGAAAAAGAAACACAGTGCCATCATGTGACATTTCATAAAGTCTGGCTCTCCCAGGATTCTTTCAAGCATCCTCCGTGCCGAGAAGGCGTCCGCTCGGCGTCCGTCCCGTCTCCTCGGCGCCTCGGGTCTCTCGTCTCCCGTCGCGCGGGTCCACGCGTCGCGCGGGTCGGGCGGCGTCGGACGGCCCCGGGGGGAGTTTGAGTGTTGCTTCTTTTTGGTGTTCGACCCATAGGGCAGCCGCTTTCCCGTAGGCCCAAGCAACGTTGGTTCCGATCTGAAAGTCATCAGCCATCAGCTGTCCAGCCACTCGACCTGCGCAAGTTTTTTTTTGCTGAAGCTCTTGCCTCCCATCTCCCTTGAACCTCCTATCCCGCAGCCAATCGGAAGGCCAGTGTAAGATTATTTTCCCGGAGATCATCACCATACAGCTGGCCACCGGGCTCTTTGAAAGCCAGAAAGCCATCTCCCTTTCTACCCGCGCGCCAGATGGGTTTAGCCACAGCAGTCTCCAAAACGCTCAGGCATCCGTGTCCGGTATGCTGTTCAACAGCGGCAGCTCCGACTCCTTCGGATTTCAAAAAAAAAAACATCGTCTCAGTGTGGAATTCACATGGGGGAAAACGCAATTCACATGTCTCTCTGGACCAATACAAGAACAGGGAAAAACAAATTGTTGTTTTGCTTCAAGCTACTAGTAGTAATGCCCTTGCTACTAGTAGCGATGCCCTTGTTACTAGTAGCTTCTAGCTATTAGTAGCGATGCACTTGCTTTCCTTCAAGCCTTTCTGCCCAACATCTTTGAGTCCAAACCCCACGCTCCGCATCGAGTTCTGCATGCGAGTGCATGAGTTGCATGAGTTTCTGAAAATGTTCCCACCAGAACAGCGCCAACGTTTTCGAGTGATGAAACTGCAGCTGGTTAATTAACGTGAACAGGTGGGACTGATTGGGACTGTCCTTTTTTTAACGCCTTTCCAAAGGGAGAGGCTCTTCCCCCACTCTCAAACAGTGTATTTTGAAAGAACATCCCGCAAAGGAATAGGTCAGGTACAATCTACTCCCAAACACGCATAATATATGATACAATACATTACGATACGTCATATATATAATATGATATATGATATATGATATGTATATATAGTTATATATACATGATTATATATGATAATCCTTCATGGATGAAGGGGGACCTGTCTCCTTGGAAAAGTGCTGCTAAGCCTCCAATCGCGGGCTTCACCTGTTTCAATTAGGCGACGCATGTGACTCCCAAGAAGAAACTGCTCTGTCAATAAATTCTGAACAAGTTCAAATGCTCTGTACACCAAGAAGGATACAGGATGATACAGGATATACGATGCGCATAGGCATGCATAGGCAAACAAGAACAATGAGAGCCCTCAGCCCCCCAAACCCTTCGCAAGAAATCTCTTTTCGCTGACGGAGCTTCCAAAACACAGGCTTCGTCTCAGCCAAAGCACATGCGGAAGATTGCTGAGATAGTATGGGCAGTATGGAAGAAAGAGGACGCTATTCGGAGGAGGCCATCCCTACTAGTAGCAAGAAACTACTAGGTTGGAGGCCATCGCTATTTGTAACAAGAAGCCAGTAGTAACAAATAAACAACACAGAGTTGACTCTTCTGGGCACCTCAGCACCGGCAAGTCGTGACTGGGACAAGAAGTTGGTTTGACACCTGATCTCGGTTTGAGGTGCAAGGCAAACCCGCATCACCAAACCTTTGGGCTGGATGTGGGAAAAATGCGGCAGCAGGGTTTTCCAAAGGTTGAGTATACAAGTATGGGGTATACATGGTATTTATGTGTTTTCAAACAAGAACAAGTATCCAAAGACTTCCAAAGTGTCTTTTTGCCGAAAAAACAAAACAAGCACCGCTGGTTGATTGAGCGAAACATCTCCCCATTGGGTCGATTAGACTGAGCCGATGCCTCGCTGGTTCTGATGGCAACCACGGCGGCACGCGGCCGCTGGTGGAAGCGATCGAAATGGAATCTATGGAGACCTGCCATACCAACCTGGGTATGGAGACCTGCCATACCAACCTGGGATAGACAGATTTGAATACCAACCTGCCTGTCTGTATGCCAGGAAGGTGTGGCAATATGTGGTCCAACACGGTCCCAACCTATCGCAGCTATCGCATACCTATCGGGTCTGTCGATACGGCGTGCTCATCCGCATCGGCGAGCAGCTCACAAGGAAGTCGGGCCATTCCACCTGAGATGTCGTCGTGGAGTTCATGAGTGTGTCGCACAAGCCTGGAAACAAAAGAAATTTTCGCCCGTGCCTGACAATGGACGAAAAGGCATGCAAACTTCATGTGTTTCACCTATTGTTCTTTTGCCTGGTCTGGGTCCATGTGGTGCAGATTGTCGCCAATAGGCCCATATCATATATATATAGTCACACAGTCCTTATGACAAGCATCTCCTGCACACGGCACTCTGAATCAAAGCTGTCTGGTCCAAACAGTGTCGGGTTCGCCTGCCCCACTCGAATCAGCTTGCTGTTGATCCATCAAGGATGTGTATGAGAGTCCTGCTCCCAAACGAACCCCGTTAGAAACAACCAATGGTCTTGAGGGCTCGCGGAGCCATCTGGACCCTACAGCCCAACAGGGTGTTGTTGTGACAACTATTGAAGGGAGGACACTACTTGCGTAACCTATGACAAGCACATGAGTTCACTTGGAAACCCTCGGGCATTGTGATGTGACATAGGGTTGCGTGGCCTTCAGATGGCAGGACCGCACGCCGACCAGGCAACAAGTCCTTGATGGCGCCCACTGTCACCCACTCGCGCTTAGTCTGGCACAGCCAAACTCTGAGGAATGGACGTACCCCAGGTACCATCTTCTCGTTTGGTGTAGGCCCAGGTCTCATCATACCTGACCCCGAGCAGACAGCAGCTGCTGTAGCAGCTGTGCAATTGTGTGCCCTTGCTCAAACGCTCAGAGGTGTTTGGAGAGAAAACACCCTGGGCAGGTCAAGTGATATGTCATCCACGTGCTCCACTTCAAAGGAAGAAACACGCCTTCCAAAAAAAGGGAGCCATCATGTTCCATGGCAAATCGCTTGAACAACTGAGGATCTAAGGACACCCACCGACACGGACACCGTGGACACCGGACACCGGACACGATCCCATCATCCGCTCCGGCGCACTTGATCTTCTCCACGGCTTCGGCGATGTCCGGCCACTCCAGGCAAGTCCGGTCCTCATCGGAGATGACTCTGACATTTCATCGACGACCTCTTTCTTTGTTCGTCCTTACGACGTGATGATCGTCGTGAACCCATGATCAGTGATCGTCAACGTTGTGCCAAGGAACTGAACATTCTGTTGAATGCGGTACTGTATCAAAGCTGCAGCTCATCCGTGCTTGAGGTGATGCTCAAATGGTTTCTCTCTTTCTTTCGGATCTTAGGAAGATCCTACACAAGTGGACCTGATGGGGAAATGGGGGCCTTAAGTAAGTGAGGAAGGACGCTACTAGGGGCTCCTGGCATCGCTACTAGGAGCAAGGACGCTACTAGGGGCTCCTGGGATGTGGTTCCATTGTTTCTGATATCGGTATGGCATATGGCACCCCCGGCTGAGTACGAGTTCATGATTGGTCAAGGGTTCGGTTTGACCCCATGCCTAGCAGCCTTAGAAGCCAGAGTGGTTCTTCCAACACCGGCTTACATTATGTTTGAGCTGGCCAAAGTCATGCCCTTGTGTTCCAAAGTCATGCCCTTCCATTGACTTGTCTTGAAACGCAAACACACTGGAAGCCTCTTGTTCAACCCCACCCCATGCTGCAAAAGTGGGTTAATTGTGATTCGTTGTTATATGATGTTATGACTATAAAAACTATCGACCTGTGTGTGTGACTACATATATGACTGACTATGACTGACTCAGCTGTCCCACCGTTGCAAAGGCGAGGGTGTTTTGCCTTCGCTCCCTACCGATCCCAATTGCCTCCATCTCCTTGATCAAGACCTTCACCTCACACGAGACGCAGGCTTTGTCGGCTTTGTCGGCTTTGTCACGCAGCAATTGGACACAGCCAGAAACGGAAGACTCTGGGCAGCCAAGACAACGTCTGCCAACCGCTACCACCACAGCAACCATTCAGTT